ACAAGTCGAATTCATTTTCAAATAATTTTATTCTCATTCATAAATGTCATCATATTATATCAAATTCATATTCAGATAATTTTATTCTCATTCACAAATACCATCATAACATATCGAATTCATATTTAGATACAGTATATAACATCAAATCAGTCACTTATCTTTTCTACTTGAGACTCAGAGTTTAAAACATATCGAATTCATATTTAGATACAGTATATAACATCAAATCAGTCACTTATCTTTTCTACTTGAGACTCAGAGTTTAATTTAACTTTTTGATTTCATCATCTTTTAAATGACTCTTTTATTCTCTATATGTTTTACCATTGATTTCTTTCTCTTCTTTCGTACTATATAATTTCTTATTGGCTCATCTATTAGTATTCCTAATGGTTCATTCTTTCCTATAATTGTATTACCATATTCTTCCAATCATTCTCAAAAATCCATCATCCTACCTTTTACTCAATTTTTTTTAACGTGAAAAAGTTATCTACTATTAATTGGATTAATTATCTAGAATAATTACTTTAACTGATAAAATTGATTATAATAATTCCAATAAAAATTATTTTAAAAGGTATATCAATAAATATAATTTTTTATATTTAATTAGTATGGGATTATAAATGATAGAACAGTTCAGAACAAGTTTTATCATATATGGATATAACATATCTCAAAATAGGAATTCAAAACCTAATCCAAACTTGATTTTTTTTTTTAATTTCTTAAATATTTTTAGATTTATAGATTATCCGACTTTATATAACTCGATAATTTTATTTTACTAATTTATCTTACTTTAGTATTATTTTCTCATCAATCTAAATATAATGGGATCAAAATCTACTATTTGATTTAAAAAAAAATGATTATTTTGTTGGGTTGGAGTGATGAATACAATCTTTATGTGAGCTTATTTTGTTAATATATTTACTCACAAAATTTTGATATATATATATATATATACACATATGTATGTATATATGGGAGAAAAGTGGATAATTAGATGGAGAGTGGCTGCGGTGCACACCCATTTCTTTTCTTCATATTTATAACGGAAAAAAAGTAGTAGGGGGAAGTAGGTATTATATATATATATATATATATATAGATATATATACAAGAATCTAGAAGAAATCACGACCCTCCCATTCTTGGGTTTAGTTATTCTGTTTATTATTATTATTATTATTATTATTATATACATGATTCCTAATTTGAATCGAACTCGTCACAAAGTGTACGTAATTTTTTCTTAATTCATATATTTATATTTTTTAAATTAAATTAACCATCATAATTAAATATAAAGTTGATGATATAAAGTATTTAATTTGTACGTCGAGAATAATTTTAAAGAAAAAGAAAAGTTTAATTTAATCTTAGACATAAACCAGTATGTAGAAGACAAATTATCATTAACCTATCTTTACTCTATCTGCTTATATTTGGGAGGGTACATGTCACAAGATATATATATATATATATATATAC